AGGCTGGCTTTGAACCTTGATCCTCAGATCTCAGCCTCCTGAGTAGCTAGGATTACAGGCGTGAGCCACCGGCGCCCAGCTTTCCCTGAGCTTTTTTTGCCCAAGGCTAGCACCCTATCACTTCTGGCTCCACTGGCACCACTTCAGCTCTACTTCTGGCTTTTTGCTGGTTAATTGGAGATTAGAGTTTCATAGACTTTCCTGTCCCAGCTGGCTTTGAACCATAATTCTCATATCTCAGCCTCCTGATTAGCTAAGATTACAGTCATGAGCCGCCACTGCCTGGTTCATTTTGAACATTTTAAACAATTTCAAATTCCAAGTCCCATATTCACTGAGTTCTCATACTTAGGAACTATGGCTTAAGTCTTGTTGACCTGTTCTCAGCACATAGGGATCTGGCAGAAATTCTCTAACAGGAGCACATAACCAGATTCTGGCCTGGCTAACCAATTCAACAATGGAAAAGAAACGTCAGAGCCCTAGGTTTTGGAAGTTTCCCAGTCTAGAAGTGAGGCATAGGAATTTAGTATTGTTTAACCAACTGAATCAATACTCAGCCCAAGCAGAGAAGAAATTTAATTTGAAATTTCCAATAATCTCAGCCCTGAACAGCATAGAAACATACATGAGAGAGGGTAGACCTGTAAGCCCAGCACTTGAGGGGTTCTAACAAATGAGACCTGTCTAAATAGAGAATGAGAGGAAGAATGAGAGCAAAGGGAGACAGACAGAGAGAATGAGTACAATTCTTGGCCAGGTCAGTGTACTAAAAACTCAAGCACTATGGACATTATTTAATAAGAATCCATCAAGGAGCTGGGTTCAAGTGGTTCAAGTATCTAATCCTAGCTACACAAGAGGCTGAGATCTAAGGATTGTGGTTCAAAGCCAGCCTGGACAGGAAAGTCCATGAGTCCATGAGATTCTTATCTCCAATTAACCACCAAAAAGCTAGAAGTAGAGTGTAGCTCTAGTGGTGGAGCACTAGTCTGGAGCAAAAAACTCTCAGGGACAGCAGCACCCAGGCTCTGAGTTTAAACCCTAGGTCAGGCACATACAAACAATCCATCAATGGATTCATGAACATATTAAAACTGAACTATCTACCTACTGGCCTTGGAAGAGTCAATGTCAAAGTCAGTAAGGCCCAGAGGCTAGGAGATAGTGTAATAATTCGAGGCCTATAAAATCTTCACATGATAAATCCTTCAATGGCCAACACAATTGAGGGAGACATGGAACTAATAAATTTGAAGGGTGATGAAGACTTCAAAATTGATTGTGGCAATAGTTTTATACAACTATACAAAAAATACAATTGCTGGACTCCCAGTGGCTACATAGCTACATAGGAAGCCAAGATCTGAGGATGGTAGTTCAAAGCCAACCCAGGCAAGAAAGTCTGTGAAATACATATCTCCAATTAAACATCAAAAAGCTGGAAGTAGCGCAGGGTGGTGGTGGCTCACGCCTGTAATCCTAGCTATTCAGGAGGCTGAGATATGAGGATCATGGTTCAAAGCCAGCCAGGGCAGGAAAGTCCATCTCCAATAAACCACCAGAAAACCAGTGCTATGGCTCAAGAGGTAGAGCCCTAGCTTTGAGCTGAATTGCTGAGGGACAGCGCTCAGGCCTAGACCAAAAAAAAAAAAGCTGGAAGTGGAGCTGTGGCACAAGTGGCAGGGCCCTATACTTGAGCAAAAATTTTCAAGCCCCAAGCCCAGCACCAAAGCAAGCAAACAAACAACCCCCCCCCCAACAACAACAACAAACACTGAATGGGTGACTTGTATGCTATGGGAATTGTGTCACATTGAAGATCTTACAAAGGCAAAAAGAAAATCCAGAAAACATGATAGAGAATAGTTATTTGGACCTTGAGGAAGTCTGTGAGATTGGCAGAGCCACAGAACAGAAGAAACCAAGGCTTTGCTGACTTTAGGTCAAGTACATCACTAACTTAACTCTGAGAGAATTCTCTAACCTCTTTTTTGGTGCCAGTCTTGAAGCTTGACCTCAGAGCCCAAGTGCTGTCCCTAAGTTTTTTTCCTCAATGCTAGTGCTCTACTGCTTGAGCAATGGTTCCACTTCTGGCTTTTATTTTGGTGGTTAATTGAAGTAAGTCTCACAGACTTTCCTTTCCCAATTAGCTTCAAACCAAGATCCTCAGATCTTAGCCTCCTGAATAGCTAGTATTACAGGTATAAATCACCAGCATCTAGCCTAACCTAGCCTAACACCATTGGAATTTGGGTATTTGTAGTGGTGTTGGTCTGTGTATCCACCCAAATCCTGAACAACACATCAGACTTTTCTATCTTGGCTAATGTGAGTATCTGTCAATAAATGGAACAGGAGACAGGTAAGGATGGTTAATAATGGGGAATGAGAGGCAAAGAGAGGTGAAAGAAGGACCATGAAATAAAGAGGAATGTACAGCAGACTGGAGTGAATGTGGGGAGAGATAAAGGGAAGAGTAAAAGAAAAACTGTTATGGTTTGGATTTTAAATGCCCTCCCCAAAGCTCTTGTATTGAAGGCTTGGTCCTCAATACAGCTATGTTCAAAGTTGTGGCCTTTGGATCATGAGGACTCTGATATCATGAATGGATTAATTCTTTCATAGATGTATAATTTAAAGGTCTGTTGGGTGAAGGAGGTGGGACTTAGTTGGAGAAAGTAGGTTACTGTGTGCTCACACTCATTTTCTCTCTACCTGCCACCTGTGCTCCCTGAATGACATTAAGTGAGGAGCTTGGCCCTACCACAACTTCCCTACCATCCACCATGATGTTCTGCTTCTCACCACCATCCCAGGAAAAATGGAGCCAAGTGACCATGGACTGAATCCTCAGAAATGTCAGCCAGAAGAAATCCTTCCTCCTTATAAGTTGTTTTCCTCAGGTATTTTCTCATAGTGACAGAGGCTGACACATGAATATGCACAAGATTTTGAATGAATTGGAAATTATGGCTGAGCTTGGGTATGTGATGGATCATGAGGCTAATCTAAGTGGGCAATAGGCAGGGAAAGGCAGTGACCATGCATGGAGCTGATGTGAGCACTCAGGATTAGAGTGGAACTGCATGATGGTTTGTGAGATACGAGAGAGAAGAAGGTAATTTAAAGGGAAGTAGGAGTGACTGTGGTCATGTGGGACATAAGAGGAAATGAAGATAAATGGGAATTAGTTAGAAATTGAGCAGGTTACCACAAGGAAGAAGGAAAATCATACAAAGTGAATGGGGTGATATTCGGTAGTGACCCAGGAAGGTGGGTGGTACTGGGATCCCAATAGGAATCAGCAGCTGTGAAGGAGCTGAAGAGCTCATGCATGGATGTGATGTTGAACAGAGAAGGAATGGAAGTAAAAGACAGAAGATAAGTACATGTGGGGACTGTGACGTGAACAGAAAAGTGATGAAAGTCACATAGCACAAGATGAGTAAGCAGGGAAACAGAACCCAAAGTGAGCCAAAGTGGTGGATTCAAGTCACAGTGTGACTGGATACAGTTACCAGACAGGAGGAGCAAGGATAAGAATGAGGAGTGGACTTTGAGAGGGAAGAAGGTAACAAGGATTACCTTGGGAGTAGATTTATGTGAATGTGGTAATCAGAGGCTGCATGAACGCAAATGGACCTAATGAAGAGAAAATTGAGAACGTATGGGGGTGACCAAGATAGAGTAAGCAAATATGGGTAACTTGAACTAGCATTGGAAGAATAATAAGAAACGGAGTTTCCAGGAAATGGGAGTGCTGAGGGGGAGGGCAGCATTGGAGAGAACAGAGGTTGCAAAGAAGAGAAAAGAGGAAATGGAGATGATGAGGTCAAGGCAGTAAAAAAAATGCTGAAGGATGGGTCATAAGAGAGTGAATAGGAGTCATTTGCTGTAGTGTCAGGAAGAAGTCAAGGTAAAAGTAGGCAATGAGCCAGGGTGAACATGAAAGGGGAGAAAAAGGAGTATGATGTGAGAAAATGTAGTAGTGATACCTAGAGGCTTAAGGAATTGAAAAGAAGTGCCCAGTCTGAGTGAACTGAAGTGGAGGCAGCCTATGTGAACTGGGGATCAAAAAGGAGAAATAAGAATGAAGATGACACAAGAGTTGAATCTATGTGTGTTGGTGTGTGTGCACATACACACACATATATGCAACATGTCTGTTGTTAAATGTAGTATTACATAATAATATGCAATATGTAGCATGGATCAGGTTCCAGGAAACTGAAGTGGGACGGTGCAGTAAGTATAGGGAAGGGAGGGGTGTCAAGGATATATGCAGTAGTTTCAATATGTCCCCTCCAAAAGGCAAGTGCTTAGAAAATCCTCAGTGCAACACTGTTGGGAGGTGGGGCATTTGGGGGAGTTGTTCAGGTCATGAGAATTCCACATTTATGAATGAATGCTGATACACAAAGCCTTGCAGAAATGGGTTCATTTTCTTGCCTTTTACCATATAAAGACATAGCAAGAGAGCCCTCCTTGGATGTCAGCCATGGTTACATTCAGCAGAGCATGAGGACTTAGAAATAGTAGTTTGCACAGTGGAGTGAATAGCATTGACCTGTCAGAAGGAGGAGGTTAGAAGCAATGAGGGTCCCCATTGGAGGTGACCAAGTAGTAAAATGTGATTAGCGAGGATAGAGTTGGATAGTGTTTTAAAAAATGCAGGGAAATGTGGGTCTAGTACTTGTCTTGCTTTCATATTCCCAATCCCACTCTCCCTGCATCCTTGTCTGACATCTCTAGGTTCATCCCTCTCATTGTCTGCTTCCATATTTATGTTTGTGTCAGTATTTTTCTTTTAATTGTGTCTGCCTCTTGGTCTTTAATAAATATGGTACTGGGGAGAATGATGAGTTGCCCAGATCGTTAGTTTCTGTGTTCCAAAATCTGTCACACAGGTCAATGCTCATAGAGCCTAGAATTTCAGAATGCCTCTCATTCCGAACATTACAGGGTGATCTGGAGCAAGGAGTCAGCTTGTGAGGCTTATGGGTATCATACTGCAGTCCTGGGATACTGTGGTAGTGACCCTGATCACACTGATGATTGTTACTGTGGATGCCAAGATTTATGAACGCTGTGAAATAGCAAGGAAGCTGGAGAAAGCAGGTCTCAATGGCTACCGAGGCTATACTATTGGAGACTGTAAGATTCCAGTTGCCACATGTCCCATCTATATCCTCAAATAATTCACCACACTCAGATCTAGGCCTTCCTCCACAGTTCAGGGCATGATCTTTCAGTCTGGTGATAATGACTGACTTTTTTTGTGTGTGCCTGTACTGGGGCTTGAACTCAGTGCGTAGGCTCTGGCCCTGAGCTTTTGTGCTTAAGGCTAGTGCTCTAACACTTGAGCCTCAGCTCCACTTCTGGCACCTTGGTGCTTAATTGGAGATAAGAATCTTACAGATTTTCCTGCCCAAGCTGGCTTCGAACTGCAATCCTCAAATCTCAGCCTCTTGAGTAGGTAAGATTACAGGTGTGAGCCACTGGCGCCCTTCAAATGACTGGTTTAACACAACACTAATGTTATCATCATTACAGCCTTTGTAATCATCCCTTTGATCTTACAATCAACACCATCATTCTTAGTGCCATCATGAATACTATCACAACCACTACCAGTGATATTTTAAAAGAATTGCCAACATCCCCTTTCCACCACCAAAACAAAATCGTCACCCTCACAACTAAGACCACAATCATCCCTGCCTTCATTCCCTTTATCATAGCCTTCCCTATTTGCAAATCCTATGCCAACCTCTTACCTCCTTTGTCCCTACCCAGGGTTATGCATGGCACACTATGAGAGTGGTTTTGACTCTGCCTTTGTGGACCACAACCCTGATGGCAGCAGTGATTATGGCATTTTCCAGCTGAACTCTGCCTGGTGGTGTGACAATGGCATCACACCTACCAGGAACCTCTGCCACATGGATTGTCGTGGTAAGACAACCCTGGGAATACATGGAAGACCTGAGTGGCTCTACACACCACACACAGAAGGCACTGTCATCTAAACTAATCTCCTAGAAAAGTAGAAAAGTGAACAGGAATAGGCAAAAGTTACCTGGGCCATTAGAAACAGCATTCTATACTGAGTTGTCTAGGTCAGGAGAATACAGAGCCCTCAATCTCATCTAGAATAGAAGATGCAGTTTTCTGAGACTCAGGAAACAGGAAAATTAGCTCCATGTGAAGTAGAAGGAGAGACTGTTCTGATTTAGGGTTAAAGTTGTGTAGGCCTTGAAGGAAGAAGCAGATCTCTAGAAGTAAGAAAAGAAACTACCTCTGAGAAGAAATGAGAGAACTTTACAGGCAAAAGTAAGGTGTTTTTGAGACAAAATAGAAGAGCAAATTGAAATTATTCAAGGATATCCAAATTGGTGGTTGAAGTTGTCCAATACAGGCCAAAATAGAAACAATGCTTATATGAGGCAAGTTCAAATGGAGACTGAGGTTGTCCAAGTCCTGTCAGCACAACAGAAAAGGTCACCCAGGAATGGCCATCAGTAGTTGAAGTTGACTAATAAGGGGTAAATTGAAAAGTGAGGCTTTTTAAAGGCTAGGTAAAACAAAGGTTAAGGCTGTTCAGTTTGAGACAGCATGGATATTGAAGTAGTTAATAAGGTTAAAATTATTTATACCTAGATAGCAATTAAGATTGCCCAGACCCTGAGCTCAATCTCCAGTATTGTGAAAAAATGCCTAGGACTGGTCTACATGGTGGTTGAGATCATTAATAACTAGCCAAATAGCAGTTAAAAATCACCCTGTCCAACAAGCATAGCACTTAAGATCATGTAAAACTAGGCACCATAGTGGCTGAGGTTGAACAGGACTAGGCAATGTGGAGGCTGAGGTCATCCAAAACCAATCAAATCTAGGATCTAACAACCCAGTATTTGAAATCACCAGGACAAACTGCTGTAGCAATTAAGTAATGCCAGTATTACTGTTTAGTAGCCAGCATTACAGTTTAGATAATTCATAACCAGATGAAAAAGTATAAAAATATCAGTTGAAATCATCCAGAGCTAGCCAGGATGGAGATTAAGGTTGTCTAGGAGCAGCGAATGAGGTATGTTGGTTACTCCAAACCAGCCAACGTGATAGTCAAGGTCAATAAGGAGCATCCACATGAGTTCAGCCCACATGGTGGTTGACAAGAAATGATGTCATCTACAATTAGCCAATGTAGTGGCTGAGGTTAGGCCCTGAAGAACCCAGAAACCTAGGGCCCTCTGTATGCTGTCCCCTGGTCCCCAATTCACCAGATGACTTTTTCCCTTTTTTCTCCCCAGATTTACTCAATCGCCATCTATTGGATGACATCCTGTGTGCCAAGAGAGTTGTGAGTTCACATGACAGTATGAGAGCCTGGTAAATTCATGGGGATGGTCTGGACTCTGGACTGCCAGATATGGGGTGGTACTAATACCCCACCAGCTTGTCCATTTCACCCTCCCTCCCGCCCTCTCTCCATTTCTAGGAATTCTTGGATTCAGCACTGTTCTGGCCATGATTTATCTGAATGGCTCAAAGGGTGTGATTTGCATGCAAAATCTGACTCAAGAAAAGATTCTTGGGGATAAAGATTTGCTTTTCCTTTTTTTCAAACCTTTTGTACATTCAATAAAGGGTAATATCTACAAACAATGTAAGGCCATTGCTTGTCAGATCTCTGACTCTTCATTTTCCAATGCCTAAAAGTATCTCTATTTAATCAATTCCTCCATACCATCACACTCTGATATAGAGATACCAGCTGAAACCAAGCATTGGTGGCTTATGCTTGTAATCCTAGCTACTTGGGATGCTGAGATTGGGAAGATTCCAATTCAAGGTGGTCATGGGTAGAAAAATTTGAGAGACCTATTCTCAATGGAGAGCAGGACATGATGGCATGTTTGGATAGTGGCCCACATGTGCACCTGGGCAGGAAATAAGGCTCTATCTCCAAAATATAACCAGCAAAATCAGAGTTGTAGATCAGTAGTAAGAGCATCTACCTAGCAAGTGTAAGTATCTCAGTTTAAGCCCTGCAAACTGCAAAAGAAGAAAAAGAAAAGGAAAAAAGAAAATATATGACTCACTTGGAGTAGGTGTTGGAGGAGACTATTGTAGTGATTAAGTGGACAAGTTCTCCTTGGTTCAAATACCACAGCTTCTCAAGGCTATGGTGCCTTAAAAATATCTTGAAAAATAGATCTTTGTGCCTCAATTTTCTCATCTGGGAAGTGAAAATATGATTGCATGGGATTATTGGCAGGATTAAATGAATTAATGTTTGTAAAGCACATAAAGTGGTATAAGTCAGTTATAGGGTGTGGTGGTGAGTGTCTGTACAGTGCTTGGGAAACAGAGGTAGGAACATTACAAATTTAAAGCCAATTTGGGCTATTTAGTGAGATCCTGTCTCAAAAACAGTGTCTCACACCTATAATACTATTTGCTCAGGAGGCTGAGATCTGAGGATCTTGGTTGAAAGCTAGCCCCGGCATGAAAACCTGTGAGATTCTTATCTCCAGTAAATTACCCCCAAAATAGCCAGAAGTAGAGCTGTTGCTCGAGTGATAGAACTCCAGCCTTGAGTAAAAGCTCAGGGACAGCACCCAGGTCCTAGGTTTGAGTCCAAGGACACCCGCTCACCCCCCCCCCCAAAAAAGGGCCATGCTGGTGGTTCACGCCTGTAATCCTAGCTACTCAGAAGACTGAGATCTGAGGATTGATGTTCAAAGCCAGCCAGGCAGTAAAGTCTGTGAGACGCTTATCTCCAATTAGCCATCTAAAAGCCAGAGGTGGAGCATGGCTCAAGTAGTAGAGCACTAGCTTCAAGCAACAAAGCTCAGGCTTTTTTGAATTCAGGGCTTCCAGACCCTGAATTCCAGCCCCAGTACCAGCACAAAAGTCACTTAGATGTTTCAATAGAGAGGGGGTGGACTACAAGGAAAAGAAAACAAACTTCCCTCAAAAAGTTATCAGTCTCAGATGAGGTCACAACAGGGTCTTTATTTAAGACATACAGTTTCTTCAGGGGAGGACCACAATGGATTCAGCCTACCCAGGAAACTCAGTGGGAATTAGGAGTTTAAAATATTCCCATTCTCCCATGGCCTCTCACGGATTCCCATTCTCTCTGTTCCAACATCACCTCATACACAACCAAAATCCTAAATTGAAAATGACACAGACTGGGAATTTAGGCAAGGAGTTCAATAGACACAAAAAGTACTCATTTCTTTTTACAGAATGTCCAGGTTTCAGTCAGGTGTCTTCAACATTAAGAATTTGAACTTGCCATTCTCTCTTTCCACTGAGCAGCCCCAATGGAAGTAGCCACTCCCAGGAGGAAGCAGCTTTGTAGTCTTTGCTTGGGCCAGGGTAGTGGCTACCCTCCTACTCACGACCTTGCTTTCACTGTTCCCCTCATCCAAAATAAGCCCAGATGATCACAGAAGTAGTCCAAGTTAAGTTAAAACTCCTCCTTAAGGTCAAGTCAATTTCCCCTGTGTTCTTCCCCAACCAACATAGATGAACAAATTCTGTATCTCCCTTAAGGTCCATCGGGGGGAGAGGGGAATCCCTTTGGGGTGGTGACTTCTGAATGTGATAGTTATTCATCAAAAGTAGCAGAAATAAGCTCAGTCAGAAATGGGTCTTGTAAAAGCTTGTTAGGTAGCTTAGTTTATAGCTGTTCTGGGAAAGCTAAACTTTCAGAAAGGGGATGGTCCATGCACAGAAACAAAAATTTTGCCCACAGAACAAGTGGGGGTAGAAACATTGACATGATTGCTGCTATTTGAGGAAACTAGATTTCATGTTGTCTTGACATTGATTTGATTCAGCATCTTTCTAATAATTTGGAACATTTATAAGCGTATTCTCTCTCTCTCTCTCATATTGGGGCTTGAATTCAGAGCCTTGCACTCTCTTGCTTAGCTTTTGAGCTCAAATCTGGAGCTCACCACTTGAGCCATACCTCCACTTCCAGCTTTTTGATGGTTAATTGGAGATAAGAATTTATTGGATTTGTCTTGCTGGGCTGCAAACCAGGGTTCTCAAATCTCAGCCTCCTGAGTAGTTAGGATTATAGGCATGAAGCCACCAGCACCCAGCAAAGTACATTCTTCATTGTTGTTTCTTTAATCATTATCTTTAAATCTGTATACTTCATTAGTACTATTCCACAAACCTCTTTTTCCCCTTGGAGATGGTACTTCCCATTATGAGAAATGACAAAAATGTGGGTTCATAGTAGGATTTCTTTACTTTTTTCTGTAAGAGTTTGGTATTCAATTTGGAAACATATTTGGAAACATATTTCCCTTATATCATTTCCAAAAGACTGTGCTTCAATAGACTCGCAATACAAGTTCAATACCACATTTTTACTTCAGGATGTTAGAACTTGCTATTCCTTCTGCCTGGAATGCTCTTCCCCCAGTATGGGTGGTGCTTTATTTTCAGGTCTAAGCTCCTCAGAAAAGCCTTCTGGGATTACCCTAGGTAAATAAAGCATGTTGTTTTCTTTGACTTTTCTAAGAAAGATTTTCTATTTTCAGTACTTTGGTTTCTATGCTCTCTGAGTTCTCTAGTGCATGTTGAACTGTGAACCCAGGAAGATTTCTCTCATATTCAGGGAAGTCATAGGGTTTCTCTCCTATGTGAGTTCTTTGATGTACAGTGAGTTTGGACTTCTCTCTGAAGGCTCTGTTACATTTATCACATTTATAGGGTCTCTCTCCTGTATGAGTCCTTTGATGTATAATGAGATAAGATTTTTGGGAGAAAGCTTTCTCACACACATTACACTCATAGGGTTTCTCTCCTGTATGAACTCTCTGATGAATAATGAGGTATGATTTCTGGAAGAATGCTTTATCACATTCATTGCATTCATAGGATTTCTCAAATTTTTCTCTTGTATGAGCTCTCTGGTGTAGCATGAGATAGGACTTCCGGGAGAAGACTTTTCCACATACTGTACATCCATCAGTTTTTTCTCCTGTATGGATTCTCTGATGAGCACTGAGGCTCAGCTTAAGGGTAAAAGCTCGTCCACACTCTGAACACACATAAGGTTTCTCTCCTGTATGAATTCTTTGATGTCTGCGCAGAGTTGATTTCTCTCGGAAAGATTTGCCACATTCATTGCATTCAAAAGGTTTCTCTCCTGTGTGTGTTCTTTGGTGCACACTGAGATGTGCCTTTTGATTGAAGGCTCTTCCACATTCTGAACATTCATAGGGCTTCTCTCCTGTGTGAGTTCTCTGATGGATGATGAGCTTTGTCTTTTCTCGGAAGGCTTTACCACATTCATTGCACATATACGGTTTCTCTCCAGTATGAGTTCTTTGATGAATATTCAGGGTTGATTTTTCTCTGAAGTATTTGCCACAATCAGTGCATTCGAAAGGTTTTTCTCCTGTGTGTGTTCTCTGGTGCACACTGAGATGTGCTTTTTGGTTGAAGGTTTTCTCACAATCAGAACATTTATAAGGTTTCTCTCCTTTGTGAGTTCTTCGATGTATGATGAGATTTGTCTTCTCCTGGAAGGCGTTGCCACACTCAGTGCATACATAGGGTTTCTCACCTGTATGAGTTCTTTGGTGTATATGTAATGTTGATTCCTCTCGGAAGGATTTGCCACATTCATTACACTCAAAGAGTTTATCTCCTGTGTGCATTGCCTGGTGTATACTGAAGAGTGCTGTCTTGTCAAAAGTTTCTCTGCATTCTGCCCATTTCTCTCCTATATGGGTGATCTGATGAACAATTAGGAGGGAGTTTGTGCTGAGGGTGATTCTACACTCGGGACATTCATAGGTTTTCTCTCCAGCTTGGGTCATATCATACTGAACAAAGTTCTGACTGTGACCTTTCCCATATGTATTACAGTCATGTGGTTGTGTGCCATCATTGATCTCATGCCTGCCATGAATTAAGAATTTGCCACATCTATTACATTCATAACATTCCTGAGCTGCAAAGCTCAGGCTATTAGGGCTGAGTAAGCTTACATTACCTTTGCAATTTTTCACACAGGAGTCATTCATATAAGGTGCATATCCTGAAGAAAGTCCCCATGGGCTCTGAGAAAGGGAATTTGCAAGTCCATCATAGTTCTGACTTCTCTTTTCAGTCACATTGTTCCAGAAAGTGGCTATAGCTTGCCTTGGGTGTGTATTTTGGGTTTCCTGATGCTCCTCCATCTGTCCTTCAACCTGCCCATCTTCTAGAAAGAATAATAATAAACAATATTCTGTAAATACATGTTTCTCATAAGGAGGTCTCTGACGGAGTTGACTTTTATTTTCTTTTAGGTCTAGGTACCAGTCAAAAAGAAATTCCAAGCATGTTTCTCCCTTACACTCAGAGTTTGAAAGGGAAAATAAGTTGAAACAACAGACATTAGAACAGAAAATAAACAATAAATATACATAACACAATTGCTTTAGGGAGAGTCAGGAATTGTTGGCTCATAGCTATAACCTTACTTACTGAAGTTTGCAATTAAAAGCCAGCCCAAGCAAGGAAGTCCATGAGACCTTTTTTTTTTTTTTTTGGTTGGTCATGGGGCCTGAACTCTGGGCCTGGATGCTGTCCCTCAGCTCTTCAGCTGTAGACTAGCACTCTATCACTTGAGCTTCAGCCCCACTTCCGGCTTTTTCTGCTTATGTGGTGCTGAGGAATCGAACCAAGGGCCTCATGCATGCAAGGCAAGCACTCTACCACTGGGCCACCTTCCCAGCAACTCCATGAGACTTTTATCTCTAATTAAGCACTAAAAAAGCCAGAAGTGGAGCTGTGGCTAAAGTGATAGAACTCTACTCTTGAGCAAAAGAATCTCAGGGGCAGTACCCAAGCCCTGAATTCAAGACCCAGGACTGGCACACATACACAAAAATAACTTTGTAGAGAGGATGTAAACAAGTTTATGGAACTGTGAATTGGAAATGAATATTGGAAGAGTAGCAGATCCAGGATTTGGAGGGAGGGAGACTCAGAATGCAAAGGTGAACTTGAGGTAAATGAACAAAGAAACCCAAGGTCTCAACCACAGTGTAGTCTGTAGTTCCTCATCATCTCACACCAAGATTAGCATGAGACAGCAGCTCATAAAATTAAAATCTGGAATTAGCATCAATAGTATGTATCCTTTAGAGACAAATTTCTGATCCTTGAAAGATGAAGAAAGAAGAAAAAAGAAGAAAGATGAATTCCTGTGATTCTGGCTACACAGGAGGCTGAGATCTAAGGATCGAGGTTTGAAGCCAACCTGGGCAGGAAAGTCTATGAGACTCATCGCCAATTAATCAGCAAATATCCAGAAGTGGAGCCATAGTTCAAGTGGTAGAACCTTGACTTTGAGTGACACAATGAAGCAAGATTGAGAAGCCCTGAGTTCAAGTCTAGTACTATTATGCATGTACACACGCACACGTACATACCACACACACACACACACACATACACACAACCAGAATAATGGCTAGACCTCACAGACCCCTAGGTCTTAATCTACTCATCTCCCAAATTGCTCTTCTTACCTGTACAACTTGAACTTGGAATTTCCCTCTTTATGATCCCAAGGACTGCCTCTTGCTCCAAAAAGGCAATCACTTCTGGTTTAGTAATAAGATACCCTGTAATAAGAAATGATACAATTTTTGTGTTGTCTGTGCAGCCTTCAGGACTTCAAAATAAGGTACATTTTAATAAAAGTTCATGTCACATGGGGCATGAAAATACAAATTCCTATTCACTTTAAGAGGGAATAAGAATCTTGAGTCCCTAGAACCTGAGGTCAAAGTATTAAAGCACTTTGGAGCTGGCAAGTTATTCTACTGGGAATACCAATGAATTATTCAGGCCATCCTCACCCACAGATACAAGATGGCTATAATTCTCTAGCATCACATCTCTGTATAGGGTCTTCTGGGAAGTATCCAGTTGATTCCACTCTTCCTGGGTGAAGTCCACAGCTACATCCTCGAATGACACTGATCCCTGCAATTGCATATTTTATTCAACCACTTTGATAAAAATTAAAGTGATGACATTTCCCCCCAAAATTAGTCTTAATTTAGTGCTGCTTTCAAAAATGCATAACTAAATATTTATGGAGTATAGTAGGATATTTCTCTCTCTCTCTCTCTCCCCCCCTCTCTTTCTCTCTCCCCCCCTCTATCTCTCTCTGTATGTGATATGTGTGATTAGCCCCGGGTAACTGGAGTAATTATGTTAAGATAAAAGAGATAATCTTCAGAAAGGAGCTATCATTTAATCATTTCAAAAAGCCTTTCAAAAGGGCAGAGGGTATGGTTAAGTGGTAGAGCACCTGTCTAGCAAGTATGAGGTCCTGAGTTCAAAGCTCCAGTACTCGGAGAGAAAAAAAGCTTTCTAAGATACTAGTGTATAGCCAGTAGTATAATGCTTGAATAGTATCCATAGAACTCTAGGTTCCATCCCCAGCACTGCAAAAAAAAAAAAGCTTAAGTAAAGCAAAAACTTTTGTATTGTTGAACCAAGTAGAATTCTTTCAAATCAATAATATAAATAGATAATCCAATTAAAATTAGAAAATTATTTCATTAGATAATTTCATGAAAAGGATACCTGGATTGTGAATGAACATGTGAAAATATTTTCTACATCCTTGGTTATCAGGGAAATGCAGAAAAGTTAACAATCCTGGAAATAGAGCTGTGGTTCAAATGATAAGAGTCCCAGCCTTGAGCAAAAAAGCTAAGTGTGTGTGTGTGTGTGTGTGTGTGTGTGTGCACGCGTGCGCACACGTGCCCACACACACACACACACACACATGACTAACAAGCCAAATGTTGGCAGAAGCGTGGAACTACTAGAATTTTCATGTATTGTTGATGGGAGTAAAATAGTACAGATACTTTAGGAGATAGCTTGACAGAATTTACTAAACCTGAAAATACTCAACATAGGACAGAGTGACTCAATCCCAGGTGTATATATCTAATTAAAATGCTATACACATATGTCCACAAAGACATGTACAAGAGTATTCATAGATTTGTTATTTGTAATAGGTGAAATGTAAAGATCAGCAGTGGAATAGATGAACAACTGTGATACTTTTTTCTGCTGGTCCTGGGGCTTGATCTTGGGGCCTGGGAAGTATAACAGTGTTTTTTTGCTTAAGGTTAGTGCTCTACCACTTGAACCACAACTCTACTTCTGGCTTTTTGGTGTTTAATTGGAGACAAAAGTGTCACTGATTTTTCTTGCCTGGGCTGGTTGAAACCACAATCCTCAGATCTCAGCTTTCTGAGTAGCTATGATTACAGTCATCAGCCATTGGTACCCAGCTGTGATATATTCTTTGGTAGTATGGGGGTCTGAACTCAGAGCCCTTCATTCCTTGGCTTGCTTGCTCAGCTGGACCTCTACCACTTGAACCAGGCCTCCCACCTGGTTTTTTGCTGGTTGTTTTTAGAGAGAAAGTCTCACAGACTTTACTGCCTGAACTGGCTTCAAATCTAAAACTTCTAGATCTCAGCCTCCTGAGCAGCTAGGGTTATAGGTATGAGCCAACAGGAGCCAGCTTGTGCTACACAATGGAATAGTAAACAGTGATTTAAAAGAGAGCAAATTACCTATACATGAAGTAACAAAGATTAGTGTTAAAAATCATTATGTGGGGGTTAGGAGTGGTAAACATTTGCCTTGCATGTGCTAGGCCCTGGTTTCCATCCCTAACACCACAAAACAATATGAGTGAATGAAATGAGACTCAAAAGAATAATAACAGATGATTCTGTTTAAATGATAGATTCAAGAAGAGACAACAATCTATGATAATAGAAATCAGAACATGGTTACCCAAAACTCAAGAGATGTGACTAGAAGAGGCTTCTGCGTGGTGTGTAATTTCCTTCTTTGTGCTTCAGGTAAGGGTTGCACAGGTGTTTCCATAGGCCTGTACGTTTTATATGCTTTTTTTCTGTATACTATGTTTCAATCTACCTCCAGTCTACCTCCAAAGATTTTTAATCAGAAGAATATATCCATAAGAGGTTTAAGAAATGTCAAGGTATATTTTTATATTACCACAGTGGGGGAAAAGCAGTATATGTGAAAGAACAATTCACCAAACAAATATAAAAGAAAAAATATAAAAGAAAAAAATATTAAAAGCTGCTGAACCACATTGATAAGGCAATAAAAACAAACAACCAAAATGAGATATTTTCAATAATAAAACTACAAAGCTTAAAACTATGACAAGAGGACTCAAAGGTGTATTTTAATTCACTAGTGGATATGTCAACTTACATTAACATTTCAAAAGGCAATACCTATGAAAGTACAAAGCAAGATGAATTTTGAACTAGGTATTTTAGAAATGCTCATCTCTATACACAATGATAGACCCAGAGATATAGCTAAATACTGTAACAGAAATTATACAACGGTCCTTCAATATGAATCTCATTAATCATGGTACAAGCATACAAAAAAACAAATTCAGTTGTTAAAATACTGCAATGTGGCTAGGCACCAGTGGCTCATGCTTGTAATCCTAGCTACTTAGAAGGCTGAGATTTAAGAATCATGGTTTGAAGCCAGCCCAGACAAACAAATTTGAGACACTCTGATTTCCAAATAATCAGCAAAAAGCCAGAAATGGAGGTGTCCCTTAAGAGGTAGGGAGCCAGCTGTGAATGAAAGAGTCAAGCCAAGAGCGTGAGGCCTGGAGTTCAAGCCCCAGTATACACAGAAAAATGTGTTCAATCTTTAGTACTACATATATACATACATACAAACACACACACACACACACACACACACACACACACACACAGAGCTTGACAGCTGGATATGGTGGCATACTTGTAATCCCAGCTACTCAGGAGGTGAAGACAGGAGGACTGAGGTTGAAAGCTAGCATAGGAAAAGGTTAGCAAGAGCCTATCACAAAATACACCAGTGGTTTGAGCCTAGCTACTCAGAGTATGGGATGACACCTGGAGAATCAAGGTTCAAATTCAGCCTTGGAAGAAAAGCCTGAAAGACTCCATTTGCAATTAACTGACACAAAGCCAAGCTGGAGGGATGGCTCAAGTAGTAGAGCACAAGCATGAGCAAAACACCAAGCAAGAGCATGAGGCCTTGAGTTCAAGCCCCAATTCTGACACACACACAAGAAAATTGCTGGTATAATAGTATATACCAATGGTCTCAGTTATTGGGAGGCAGAGATAGGACAATCAAGGTCAAAGCCAGGCAGGGAAAGTTGACTTAAAACCTCATCTGTAGGAAGTAGAGCTGTAGCTCAATTGGTAGAGCACAAGCCTTGAGGAAGAAAGCTCAGAGACTGTGCCCAGGCTCTGAGTTCAAGCTCCAGGACAGACAGACAGACAGATGGACACACAAACACACACA